TTTATGACCAAATTCAGCAGAGTTTGCATTTGTTTTTCAGCCTTGATTCATATCTATTTCATATCTTCATAAGTTCATAAAATTTGATTTTAACATGTCAAATAATTTAGCATTGGACTGGACCAGACTTCATATTTTTGGGTGGACTCTAATTTATTTTTCACATTTAGATGTAGCTTTAATATAAATGTTAGCAAAGGAAAGAGAGTTCTCAAGATGAAAAAGCAAGATTATTGCTTTGTCCTGTGTGTCAATGTAAAATAGTAAAAACAAATACCCCAAATCCATTTTCAAATGTAGCTTCTGCTGAGAGCTTTTGAATGCTGCGTTCATGTCAGAGCTCAAAGTGTGACTCTTAGACTTTATGCACTTAGTGAAGGAGTACATTCTTTGTAAATAAGAGGCAGACTTCCAGTGACAGATACATTTTAGTCCAGCATCAGTGGTAACAGCCAGACTGAATTATTTCACAAAGCTATGCAACAATAAGGGAGTTGGACATAAAGAAAGCAATTTCTACTAAGCCCGACAAGTGGAGGCCAAGGTCAGTGTCATTCTACAGTCTAGACTGCTGTGAGGAATCGGGGACATTTTGCAGTGTTCATCTTTTTACAGCTACTCTGGAGTAAGAGCCTGTTTTATTACTGAAACCATACTCAAAGCAATACAAGTTTTTGCTTTTAAATGGGCAGATGTTTATGAATTAGAGGATACTCAGGCCTCAGTGACAGGATGTGGTCAGTTCACAGTTCCATTCTTGGGAAGGAGAGGAAGGGAGACAGGTCAGTGCAGTGAAGAGGGGGAGGTGGAAAGTGGCCCCAGACTGGAGAAGGCGAGGGCAGGTCTCCAGTTTTCAGCACTGGCTCACACAGGTTGAATTAAAGTATCTGAAGTTGAAGAAGAATATTGTTCAAGTAACCAAGGTGATCACTGAACTACAGCAAAGTTATTGTCCTTGCTAATTACATTTATTGCAAGATTTGACAGAATTCTATATAAGAAAGTATTACCTTTGTGACTAAATGCCAGCTGAGCTGGCATCCTTCATCTGTTTCAATTCTGCTTTTTCTACCAGTTGTATGGGAACCACTGCACAGCTGTGTTAATCTGATGAGTACTATACGTAAAAAGAAAAACCCCACCTATAATGCAAACCCACAACAACCACCCCCAAAACAGAGAAGCAAGCAACCCCTCTACCCTCCAGCAGGTATCAAAAATAGTGTGGCAGGAGATAACGTCATCAAGGTGAAGGAGATAAAAGATGAGTGTTAAGAAATAATTGGAGTATGCCGAATTATCACAAGGAACTACCAGAAAAAAACCAACCAACCAAACTTGTTTTCAGAAAAACTTGTTCAGCTTAGTATAAAATAATAAAACTGTCACTTTTGCTTTATAGTTATTTCATCTTTTTGCAGTACTAACTCTTCTTAATCAATATAGCTATAAATATACCCTACCTGAATTTCCATGGAAAGTAGACTCACTTTATTGTTTGAATTAGTTAGTTGAGGCTTATGGAAAACCTAGTAGAAAGATACTTGTGCTAAAATAGTACAAGCTCCATATAGCAGAACAGGTGAATGCATGTATTATGTGTTACATGTTTTGGTAGTGGTGCATTCAGACATACTTTGCTATGACTTAAAAGTTCAATAGGGTTAAAGTCTTACAGGTGATACTTGGGGTTTGCTTATTTAAGGAAACTTTAATGACTTTTCGTATTTAACTTGAGGTATACGGAAGTATTATTTGAGGACTAAACAATCGTATGAGCTTGAACACTGGCAAAAGGTAATATAAAAATAAAGGGCTTTTTGCCTTCTGAAAAGTTTCTTTGTGCCAAAATGAAGACCTCGAAGTGCTACAGAGGCTCTGTTTGACAAGAGCTGAATTAACAGTAATGTTGGATTTGTGAAGACAAAATATTTTTGTATGACCGTTAATTCAGAATGAAAATGAATCTTTCTGGACTGTATGGCAATCTGTCAGTTGGGTTCCTAAGAAGGGAGCAAACCATTTGATGTGGGCCTTTTAGAGTATTGTAGGAAGAGGTCACATTCATCAAGGTTTCGTCTTGTAGGGCAAAATGTCAAGCTACTTTCTCCCTCATTGTCCTTGAAGACCACAGTTGGCGTTATTGATCATCACAGGGCTTAGAAATGCAAGATGAGTTGTAGCATTTTTAAATGCAGAATTTTTAGTTGTATTTATTGCCTGTTGCTCTCATGAAGGACTAGTTAGCCCTGCTAACTAACACTCTCTACAGGCTGCACCACAGCTTGCTGTGATTCTGCAATTCTAGCTACCAAGCTCAAAATACAGAGGTAAAGCAGACAAAAGACATACTGACTCCAGCCTGGTTTTCTCAGGAGAATGGCTCAGAGCATTTCTGCTAATTCCTGTTGAGGGGCAGGAATTGGAAACAAAATTGTCTACCTGGTCCCTCTCATAATTAGGAAAATGGAAGTTGAAATTGGATATAAAAGAACAATACAAAAGCTAGCAGGGGAAAAAAAGCTTTTACAACAAATCCCATTAAATTAATTGTGGCTGTTACATGAGCTTGGGAAGCCTTGCAACTTCATACTGTGAATGAGCTTTAAATATTTTTATTGTTTTCAACAAAGACAAAACTTATGAAGGCTGAAATTTGTTGTTGGTTGGTTGTTTTTGTTATTTATATTTTTAAGATAATGCTGTGAGAACCAACCCCTGTTAAAAATGAGTTACAGTATAAATGAAGCCACCTAAGTTTATTTGGCAGATTTTATTGTCCATTTTGGACAACAGAGCTCACCTTTTAACTTCACAGTGTATGTCTAACTAAGGGATTCTGTGTGCTTTGGCTGACTTGAGATTAAAAGGGCAAGTTCATGCTGAATGTTAATATAAAAAACTCTGTTTATGCTTTTATCATGCTTTCAGAAACCCTGTTCTGCTTTTAGCTGAACCTAAAATTTTGTCCAGTACTGATCAGGAGTTATGTACGCAGAGAACATCCTGTTTTAGTACAGGATTTTCTAGGTATTAATATTACAATACCTGTTTACCTAACAAATTGGAGGTTTGGCCCCACAAGCTGAATTTCTGGCTCAAACACTATGATAGCACATGGTTTTGTACATGCTGGAATGTTGCATCTTGCATTGACTACAATTAGAAGTGTAGGTGTTGAGAATGTTTAGACATGAATCAAATAGAAGCATGAAAATTAGAGGTGAGCTGTGGAGCACTTCAGATAGATATTTGGCACACAAGGAATGAGGTTTTTACAGCATAGTCTTTCCTAAAAGGTTTTTCCAAGGATCCACTCATGTGAAAGAGATAATTCCTTAAAACATATTTAATATTTTATATCAAGTGGTGAAGGATTCGTATCCACAGTCCTTATATACATTTTTGTCATTAGAAAGCTTAATTTTCTGAGTCTGTTCTTTATGGTAACTTTCACAAAGTGTAAAAAATGTTTGAAATGGAACAGTGATTTTATTTTTATAAAATGTACACTCTTATACTTACAAAGTTGCTAAGAAGTGAGGAGCTTGTGTTCCGTCTCTTAATTCCCATTAGATAGTAGTACACATTTTAAGATGTCATTGTGCAGTTACCTAGGAATATTTTTTGTCATTACTCTTTTTTAATTATTGTGCAGTAACTGTGCACAGAATGAACTCTGCCCTGCTTCCTTTGTCTTCTGTTGTCAGTTTTTCTCTTTTCCCTGAGTATATTCTCTCTTTTCCAGTATAGAACGTAATATCTTGAAAAGTTACTGTTTTTTCTTACTCAACCCAGAGCAATGTAGTGATAATGTTATCTGATGAGTTTGTTGAATTTGATGGATTATGTGTAAAGTGAAATGTTATTTACAGTAAAATACAATACCAAAGAATGTATTTTCAGGGTAGGGATTTAAACAATAAACTGTATAATAAATGCAGTTGATGATGATAATAATTGAACTGCTTTTGTAGTAACCAGAAAACTTCACTGATTTGTGGGCTTTATTCTAAACTAATCCTCAGTACTGGGAAAAAATGTATTTTTAATAGGCCAAAATTAATTAGTTTAATACAAAACTAGAGAGTGCCCATACTCAACTATAATGTGATGCTCCAAGTAGGAAATATGTTCATATTTCCAAAAACATTAGGATTGTTTGGTACACCTAAACCTCCTCCTTCATGAAAACTCATTCAAGAGAATTGTTTCAGTACTTTTTTCCAATTGTAAAGATGAGCTCCTGAATATTTTTACTGTCAATATCTGTATCAAACTCTGCTTTCTGAACGAACAAGGAGTATTAAATAGGTCTGTCAGCATTCTGTTAGCCCCACTGAGACAAAATGTGTCTTTACAAATATGTGAGTGCTGACTAAACAGATTTGTTGTATATGAAGCACATTTGGAAGAAATCAATAGTTTTTCCATTTGTGGTTGTGTTACAGATGCGATGAAAAGCCACACTTTGCTATGTAGGAGTAGTACCTTGTACACACAGTAATTAAAACAAACAAAACTGCTTATTACAAAAAGTGAAAATTGACAGGAGAAGGAGTAGAACTTTAAAAACCCAAGATGCTTAAGGGCAGTGTATAGGTAAAGTAAATAGGAATTTATTCTGGCACCCTTACTGTGAATGTGCTTGAGCTCTGTTTCCGAGCATGATTCACAGGTTTGGAACATAATCAGGCTAGAGCTTACACTGATTTGATTACTTTATATGAAACTTATATGCGTATGTTCATAAGGGTACATTAAAGCAACAACTAGAAAGTAAATTCTTAAATATGCTAAAGGTATAGAGAAAGATCTACCAAATATTTGTGAATTTAGCTAAAAGTATATTTGAATGCCCAAGAGTTCCAGGCAGTTTTTAGTCTCAGCTGTAATTTTCAATGCCAGTCCTTTGCCATTACCCATAGCAATTAACATTTAAAGTTATTAATGTTGAGAACTGCTTATCACTACCTAGGCATTTTCTTTGTCATCCCCAGGAAAGATGTCCAAAGACCGGGCTCTAAGGAAGCAGCAGCAATTGAATAATTTGGCATCAGCAGTGACAAAGCTTGCTAAGCCTGGAGATGTGATTGTGGATTTTTGCAGTGGAGGGGTAATGTATATTTTTGTTTACATGATGCAGTTTCTTTCAGCTTTCATCTTTGCACTTCTAGCTGGTTGCTGCTGCAAAGCAAAAGAACACATGCTGAAATTTTAGCTGCTTTCAAAGGTTCTGTCACTGGTTAGGAGATGTTTATCACATGTGAGTCAATAAGAGGAGACACTGAAAAGTGACTCAGTTGTTTTTCTTTTCACAGGGCCATGTTGGAATTGTTCTTGCTCACATGATGCCATCATGTCAGGTAAATTCTGAATAAAAAATAAAGAGGGTATGAGCTTTGGGTCTCTGGTAGTCATCTTAAAAAGACGTGCATGTAGGGAGAATAAATACGAAGATGTAATTGTCTCAGCAGAGGACTTAGATTTGAAACATGAATATTTTTAGCATGATCCCAAATGTGTGCTATGCTTTCCTGAGAAAACAGAAGTTATAGGGAAATATAAACTATTTGCAGGCTGATTGATACTGGCAAGTATTAAATGCATTCCATTGTTGTTGCATTTCCTACTAATAATTTTGGAGATCTTGAGCTCTGCCACAAGTAATTTTGAGGTTTTCTCAACTAAACTACAAAGTTTTGTGCTAGTTGGTGAAGTACATTGATTTCTTAGTGTTATTTTGCCTTACTTTCTCCTGTGTATTTGATCTAGGTGGTGCTCATAGAAAATAAGGAGTTGTCTCTGATCCGTGCTAAAGACAGAAGTGATGAATTAGGTTTAAACAATATTTGGTTCATTCAAGCAAATTTGGACTATTTTAATGGGACTTTTAATATTGGGGTAAGTGATTAAAATTTTTCCACTTCAAAACTTCAGTGTCTGATGAATTGTTCTTGGAACAACTAAAATACCTGGGAGAAGAATATTCTGTATGTCCTTACAGACAGGTGTTTTTGACACTAGGAGATGTACCCTTGTTATATTAATGTGTATTAAGTTAGTTTTATATTTTTTACCTGTTTCAAGTTAGCACTGCTTCTGCATCATATGAGTGAAGAAGGAGATAATGTTTGTATCTTGTTACTTTGACATCAACTCTGCATTACTTGGCTGTTTTCTTATTTGTTATCTGCCAGGAGTTCAAAATTAGGTTTTAAAAGTGTTGACCACTTCCTTTTTGCTCCACATAACGTTTCTGCCCTTATGAATTGTTAAGGTAGTGAAGGTCAAGGTTCTGAAGCAACCTGTTGGAGTGCCAAACGAACTGGTACATTGCACTGTTACATGTTGTAGTACAGCCATCAACCACAGTAAAGGATTTCGTTCTATAAGTGAAGGCTTCCAAATATTTGCATGCAGTGCTCATTTGCATGCTGACACACAGAGGATTCTGTGAAAGCTTACTCGGTTTTAATACTTTCATAGTACTCACAGGATCTCAGCTAATTTGTGAGAACAAGTTGAAAAATTTTAGGTTTGGTGGGGGGGGGGTATATATTTTTGATCATGTTGAGTTCTTTCCTTTTTAAGATCACTAAAGTGAACCTGAGGTTTCATGAAACATTCTTTTGCCTTCACTTTTCTGTGTGCACTGGGCTGTTCTGTGGAATTGCAGCTCCAGAGGTGTAAGACAGAGCAATGCTCTCACACTGCATTAGCCATTAGCTCTGTTGCTCTCTTCAGGGTCCACTTTGTTTCCATGTGTTTACAGATGCATGGATTTGTGAACTGAATGCATTATCTGCGTTAGGTCTCACTTTGTTTCAGGTGGTGAGTTCAATTTGTAGGATATCCCGGGAAAGCTTTGTCTTGGATTTTATTTGTGATTTCTCACCTATCTAAATTGATTTTGAGAAATCCAAAGAAGTAGTCAGTTGGTGTACAAGTTCATAGAGGCTCAGCAAAGCTACTGGTTTTATCTGCTGCTGTTTTAAGGTCTCTTTTCCAAATGTGCAAGTAAAGCAAAGCAGAGGTCTGTGTTTTCTGCTTGGATAGATGACCAAGTACTGTAATTATATTCTATGATAATTTAATAGCTATGATATTAAGAATCTATTTCTGACATTAAACTAGTTTTATTTTTGTTGTTAAATTCATATGTACAGAAAACTTTTGTTGTGAAATTTTCTTATTAATGTTTTAATGTTCTGCTTGAGACAAGAATATTTGTTACCATCTGTACGCAGTTATAGTTCAGTTGATGATTAATGGTCTGCTCAGCTGAGCTTACATCAAGCAGTCTGCAAACAAAAAGTTTTTGTTTTGATCTATATCTTAGAGCAGAGTTTTTATCTTCCAATTGCTGTATCTGGAAAAAGAACTTTGAATCCTGAAATCTGAGCTTGCAGCTTTAAACATTTTCCCTAAATTTACAGTGAGCAAAGAAAACAATGCAGATTTACAAATCCACACCAGTGTATAACGATAAAAATGTGCCTCAAAAATGTCCCTAGTTTCAAGAAAGCAGAGAACAATGTGTATGTGCCAGGCCTGCTCTGTGAGCTACTGAGTACATTGAAGAAGGCAGAGAAAATAATGCTTCCATTTCACCTGGTCCATTTGGTATCACAGGTATTACAGGAGACTAGTGCTTTTCTTTTCTTGCAGTACATTGAGTACAGCGAGAACTTGCCTTTTTGTAGGAGGGCAAGAAGAATTTGGGTGCAACCTGTGCATTGCTCAGACATGCATTAGTGTTTACAGGTATTCAGTTGTTGTGACTGAATGGCATTCTAGTTTTAGTTCTAGAGCCCATTGCTAAGAAAAAGAAATAGAAGTATAAGAAAGAAAAAGAAAAGGAGGGCAAGTTGTATTTGATGCTTCATCCTGGCCAGTGTTTAGTTTCTAAAGTTTTTACTCAATACCTTACATTCAGATGATCAAAATTTATGCAAAAATGTTGTCCTTTAAATGTGACCTTCAGGTATATCTTTTACTTCTCTTGTAGAGAATTCTTGAGAGAGGTCTTTATATTTCTTAGTAGTTATTGCTTAACAAAAACTTCTGACTCATTATGACAGTAGTTTTTCCTTTAATACTTCTCTGGAGCTTTGTTTTTTATTTATTTGATATCACAGTGCATTATACCTACCTTTTCAACGCTTTTGGTGAGTGACCCTTGCTTGTTGATGGTTCCCTTGTTAATGGAATAGGCCATAAATATTACCTCAGCATAGATACAAAAGAGAGAAATGAAAAACTGAGGAATTGAGGAGCGGCCCTTCGTTGGAACAGCTTTCATTGCAAAAACTTACTCGTATGTTTAAGTAACTCAATCAACAAAAAACTACTACTGCAGTAGGATTGTATTTAGAATATTACTGTAAAGAATTCGCTTTTTTCTTCGTTTTTTCTTTTTAACATTGTAGGTGGCTCTGCATGCATGTGGTGTGGCAACAGACATGGTGATCGAGCACTGTATCAAGGCACAGGCAGCCTTTGTCATCTCCCCTTGTTGTTATGGCTTCATTCAAAACACAGTGAAGTTTCAGTACCCACGAAGGTAAACTAGAGCTAACAAAATAAGCTTTAAAATATCAAGTTAAATGAAGGAAAAAAGTACTAAAAGATTATAGAATTAATAAACTGAAGATCATTGCAAGTTATATAGGCAATGATAAACGATAACGCAGCTGTTCCCTCCTGTTTCTCTTTGCAAACCCATCCTGAAAGAGAGACGGATTGGTAATTCCTGGGTAATTTTTCTGGATTTATCTATTCATAGTTCAGAAGACTTTTTACTACCAACATAATAAATGGAGTATGTGCGAATCTATGTGATATTCAGACCTTTTACCTTAAAATAACTAAGATAATATAAAACTCATGAAAATTACTATAAGAAGTGGAATTGGCATTTTAATGTTGGAGAAAGATGTTAGCAATCAGGTTAAAGAAAGGGATCTGCTTTATACCACAGTTTACTCCTTGTGAAACTCCACTGATTTATTCCCAAGTGGACAAGCTCTTCTGTATTTCGGTTCATAGTTTTAATACTTTTTCAATGGACATGTTATCTTGAAATCTGCTGTGTTAAAGATACATAAGGCTTAAGAATTTAGATGCCTTTGATATAAAGAAAAAATTAAATGATAAGCATAAAGTGGCAGAAGATAAGACACTAGCAGCTGTCTGAGGTGGAACTAGATGAGGGAAGAACTTTGTGGTTTCCTCAGAACAAGAAACTGAGACTTGCTATCTTAAAAGAAATCAACAAAGGGAAAAAATAAATATCTTAAGCACCCATGTTAAATATTTTGCATATTTTATCTAAGTGTGCTGTCACAGAAGTGTGCAGAGAGCAAATATAATGATTTTGTCTGATAAACTTTGCATTTAACAGTGTTTTCTTAGTTTGGTTCTTTCTTCTCTTTGTGTGCCCCTGTTTATTTTCTCCTGTGACAGAGTAAAACAAGTAAGTATTGTTAAAGAAAAGGCAATAAAATTTTAAGCTTGCTACTGTTTAGCTTTTGACCAGTTGTTTTTAGATCATGAAGGTTGGAAATGCTCACTATGTTAGAAAATTTTCATTGCTGTAGATGCTGTGAGAATGTAAATTCTGGGTTTGTTTCCTGAATTCGAAATCTAATATTGTAAGCCTATGTAGAAAACTGTCAGCCTTCAGTTGAGCTAGATTTTAGGGTTTGCTTTTTCTTCTTTCCTTATTTGATATGATCATAAAACCTGATAGCCTGCCCATGTCCCCGTATTGCCTGTGTTCTATACTCGGTTCTCTTGCAGAGGTACCTTTTGTGATACAAACAAAATATATGCATGTCTAGAGGTTGCATACGTGTAGTGTAAAGTATTTATGTGACAACGTGGAAGCACCAGTAAATCTGTGTTAGCATTTATAATGATTTAAAGAGAGATTTTTTTTCTGAATAATACAATGGGTGGGGAGGGTGAAGCTGAAGACAACACCAAGTATTGTGCTTCTTTTCTAGCCAACTGGAACTGTAATGGTTTCTGGAGTTTTTTTATGCCTTTCTGTAGGATACAGATATCGGTGTTTGAAATATGTTCAAGTATGTGATGATTGCTTCTGTTTTACACCTCTGCTTTTTTTAGATATTAATTAAATTGGTCTTTTTTTTTTTTTTTCAGTCGTCTCTTCAAAGAAATTTTGTCCTATAAGGTATGTAAAAGGTGGTGGTGGGGAGAAGGCTATGTACAGTTTCTGCATTTCACTGGATCTCTTATCAAATAAAAGTTGTTATATTGTAATTGCAAGGAGGAGCATGTGTTATATGAAAAGTTCATTATCAGTGCAGATATCATTGTGTTGTGTTCTCTCCACCATATATTTTTTTAAAGCTTTTTTTCTTCAATAAAATTAAGTAGGTTCTTCACAAAAGATCTTTTTTATCATTGAGGTATGTGCAAGCCATTCCTAAGATATTTCAACATTTATCAGTTAATTACAGAATACCAACTTTTACAGGTCTTAAATACAGCTAATTATACTGTGGAAATGTCTGATCATTTTTTAGGTAAAATTCCTGCTTCTATAGATACAGTTTTCTGATAAACGTTAGATTTCTCCCTCTAATTTATGTCTGGAAGATTGGACAGAGTGAGTAGGAAGAGTTTATACTTACCAGCAAGAATTTTATTACAATATTGTTTTAAGAATATTACTAAAAATTGTTTCAAAAATATTCAAATGTGTTTTGACCCTGGGGAGCCAGGGTCTGTGTGGAGATGGTAGGAGAGAAAAAATGGGAGGAAGAATCAGTGAGGCATGCAGATCTGACAGAATGAAGATAACAGGTAGCAGAGAAGTGAAAAAGGACAAGAGCAGAGTGGTGGACAGCAGACCACTGGTACTGATCTGTTAAACTTTGGTGCATTTAAACTAGTTAGTGAAGAGCAACCAAAAATTTGAAGGTTAAATGCGCTCAGTGTGGCATGGAAACAAAACATTGACATTTGGGAATAGTGGGGCTATACAGAAACTCTGCTAGGTTTATATGTCAAATCCTAAACCAGGGTCTTGGTGTTTGCAATATAGAAATAAAATTCAGTAATACAGAATAATAATTTGTAGCAGAAATATGAGACACATGTTATTTCTAATATTCAAATTTTTTTTTGGCTGTGAGCTGTAACAAAGATGCTCTTTGTAATAAATTATCCTTTTTAATCCTCAAATAAGGGGGCATTTTAAAAATACAGAAAATTTCCAGCCATCTTATATAAGGAAGTTCAGTTATATGGTGGTATGCGCGTCTTATCTTCATGACAATCTGCTTTGTGTACAGTTTACACATGGAAATAAATGTTCATAGATGGAGGTTATAAAAGTGGCACGGAGAATTTGGACCTGCTGTTATTTTTACCCTTGATTAACATTCTTTCTAACACATAACCATGAAGAACTCAGGTTTCACTTCAGAAAGAAAGTTGATTTACTTTTATTAAAATACATTAAGAGCAGACCTGTTGACAGGACAGAGGAAAATGGTGGCAATTACAAAGTCAAGATGCCTAGATTAGGATGGTGTGTATAACCTCATTAAAGCTCAGTGAATTCTTTTCTTAATCTGCTAATTCATGGAGGTTTAAATCACAGGGTTTGTCAACACTATAGGAGTTTCAGCATTTTATTATTTGTGCTGCAGAAGGGCACAGGGGCCAAGGACAAGGTTAAAAAATATTACTGCTCTTAGTAGTGTAAGATTCTGTACAAACGACCTGGGCTGGTTGGTGCCTTAAATAATCCTAGTTATAAATAACTTTTGTTATACAGCTAGCTATATGCATTTTTATGTTTCATATTAATAAATTGTTAAAGGTTATTGGCTAGTAGCCAGAGCTGCCATGTGTTAGCCAGACATTGTGTGTGTCACCTCCCTCCAGTTCCCATTTGAGAGTCATTTCTCTTATCTTTCATTTTAGTGAGATCTACAAAGACGTCCAGAAGTCTGGCAATTCCAAAACTTTTTTGATGAGAACTTTTTACTGTAATTCATTAGTTTATATCTGCAAGGAATAAGGCTATGATAGCTGTAGATTTCTGTCATGATACATTTTGAGACTTTATTTGTCAGACACTCTCCCTATAGGAGAATTGGAAAGTAAAACTGAATTAACTTTGCACATACAGCTTTGAAAACTCAATAGGAATTGAAGGTGTGGGTGTTCTAGTAAGCAGGTTAACTGTTTATGCACACAGAAAGTTTGGGCAAGTTTTAATTGTCTTTGTTACTTTAGAAGTACTTTCTTCTTTCTGCAACAGGGAATATGGCAATTTAATGACTGTCATGGGGAAATGATGTAGTCATAACTTAGGCTCTAATTTAACTAGGACAGGGATAATTCAAAAGTGAATTGTGCTCATTTTGATGTAGGAAAATTTATTGTTTACAGCCAGGTATTTTCTGCCTTCAGGATCAGTTTTTCCTTCAGGATCTTTTGGGTTGATCCTGAATGGTTGTATTTGGTAGGGCAGAGGAATTTTGACCCACAAAGTGATTGATTCTTCTGGGAATTAAAAATCACTGCTTGGGTGACATGTGCAGTAGATCAAATCACCTATTTAAGTGTTTTGTCTTGGCTGTTACTGATGCAGGGATGCTGCCACGTGCTAGAAGAAGACTGTTGCTCATCAGTAATTGAAGGCAAAATTATTCTGCAGAATGTCTTTGAAGAATGCTGTCTTTTCTACATTGCATCTAATTCAACTGCTGCAGAGAATTAGAAAATTTAGCAAGAATCAGATACTTATTAGTAGCCATGTGGTCGTGGTTACAAATGCTTGATTTAAACATACACTAACAAGCCAAAGCAGTATCAAATCTGGGAGTTGTACACAGATAATTTTCCTATAAAAATAGTCTTCCACATGATTTGAATCCTTGAACCATTTAATTAGATTTTTCTTTCTTTATTTGGAAGAGGGAAATGTGACTGGAACAAATTTATTTACTTTTTCATTCTTTTTTCTAGGAGCACATGACCCTTTGCAGATTTGCAGATCAGACAGCTGTTCAGCTTCCACCTGAACGGAAGCTAATTGGTATGAATTTCTGCAGTTGTTGTGTAATCTAGCTCTGTAATTATTTTACCTTAATACACAAAGGAAGAAGTAGTACTTTCGTGACCAGGACATTAAGTTACTGTCTTCACACAACACTTGAAAAATCTGAATTTCTTCACATTTCACATCTTGCTGTTCTATGCTGTGGAATAGAATGGTGTAGAAACTCTTCTTTCAGAATGATCAATTCTGGAATGGACGGTTTGCCTTTTACTGATTTTTAATTGTTTCACTTTCCCTCCTCCCGCCCACTCCCTTCTCCCACCATTCTCTGGCAAGAATGAGGTGTTTGTAAAGTTCACTAAAGTCTTGCTATTGCCAACATATTTTACATTAAAAGCACATATCCCTTTGTCCTGCTTGTAGTCACTGGTGATAACTCTCTTACAAGGGTAAACATCTAATAGAAACAATAAGGCTGAATTGCAGAGGTTGGGTTAGCTTTGGTCAGAAGGACAGCAAAATACGTAACACTTTAAATATTTGGAGTAAGCAAAATCATTTCCTCATTATGCAGAACATTCTAGTATTCTTTGACTTACAAAAGGGTATAATGTGTGCCTGTCTGGTATTAATGTTCTGACGGAAGCTATAAACGAGCTTCCAGGTCAGAAAAGACAGAAGGGAATTCTCGGGTTATAACGGCATTCTTGGCTTACATAAAACACTGAAAAAATATATTAAAGCAGGAGTAGCAAATAATCATAGTGTTTTAAAAAGCTTTCTTTGAAGAATTCAAAGTTTTTCTTATGCTCAATGCATAAAAATAATACAGATTCTGAGATATAGATAAGAATACAGATTTTTTTTTTATAATGAATTTGTTGGTGCTTTTGCTATCATCACAGTATTTGAAAAAAATTAGTGTTCAGTTACCAGTGTAGAACCCTACATTGTCTCCTGCTGAATATTTGAAAAGGACCCAATGTGTTTTTGAAAGAATGTAAATTTTATCTGTTCTCTGTCTCAAATGTCAATTTTTTTTCCCCACAAATGTAATTTTTATGTGCCTTTGCCCTGAACAAAAAACAAACAGAAATCTTAAAATCTTATTTGCGTCCATTTCCCTATATCATTGCTTTTTCTGTTTTAAAGAAATGATATTTTTTTTCTTTTAAGTTCCATATAACACAAATGTGTTTCAGTGAAGATCATTCCCACTTCAGTGTTCTGTTTCAGCTTTGAAACTGGTTTTATGGGAATATTGTTGGGATACTTGCAAACAGTTGAAGATTTTTTTGTGTTTCGTGCAATGCATGATCAGGTATTGAGAAAACTGTGTAGACTTCATTTAATGAAAATATTCCTGAACAGGCAGAGACTTTTTCTACTCTATTGCAAATGGCAACATTTTTTACTATTTTAGGATTGTATTGTAAACTGTGTTTTAGCAATTACCACTGAAATACATGCAGCTCCAGTGAAGTGACAAATCATTTTGTATCATTACATGTAAGTGCCTAAAGTGTTCAAGTACAGTGTTCTGTCTGTGTCTGTTATGGCTGAAACAACCATTTGTCAAAGAGGTTATCACCAATTTCTGTAGTATCTGTGAATGTAAAAATATGTAGTTGTGCCCAGTTCTGCTATACGTGGCAATTCCCTCTCTTTCTCATTTTCACCGGACGTGTGTGCTTTATCCAGTCTATGCAGCAGTGGGATCTGAGTGCAAGCATACTGAATGGTTTTGTGACCATCACTACAGCCCACGTGATTTATTCTGTCTGATCACAGAACTGCTCTGTATACTTCACATAGACTTCCTGAGAGCACATGGGGAACCAGGCCCCAGTTGTGGCAATCCCAGCTGCACCTTAGTGTTTACATTTTGGATAATAGTGATACTACTGTCAGTGGCAGGAGCATGTACATGCTACTTTATTCAACCAAATGCAGAAGGTGATTTTCTGTGGAGCCGCAAATACAGGAGAACAGTGCCACAAGAAGTAATTTACAGAGATAGAATAAACTGGTATATACATTATATATACATATATATTACAGAGATATAATAAACATATAAATCCATACAGTTGAAAAGTTCTTTTTCAGGCCTAATCTCATATTATTGTATCGTTCGTGTGTCTCCTAGCCAGTTACTACCTCTCTCCAATTCCAAGCCACCAACAGAACCCAAACAGTCCAAATGTCAATGTTGGTGAAGTCAAACCTAGGGAACTTCTTTTGTAGCTAAGGAATTCAGCTGAGAAGGAGAAGATATTTTGGGTCATTGGCTCACTGTGTAAAGACTGAAGAGATTGGACTGAGTACTGGAGAGTGTGATGTGCACCAACTGCTCTGAAATACAAGGATGCTGAGGAGCATACTTACGCCACCTACTCAAAACTTCTGCAGGCACCACAGATGCATGTCAGGGCTTGCCATGGTACAGGCACTCACACTGTATATATTCAGGGAAGAGAGGTAGGCAGTTCCAGAGGGTAGTTTGGAATGACAGATTTGTATCCTGATGGTAAACAGAATGGGTACTCCTGTCTCCCATCATCTCAGACCCCAAATATATTTAACTGTACAGTTCTGTCAGGAACAAGAGAAGAGGTAGGATCATAGGCTTTTGAGACTGAAGCAGGACTGTGCCTTGTTTGTGACTTGAGACTGTATGTGATAAAAGATTTCATGGAAGTGCTAAATCTTTCTTGCAAAAGAGTTTCAAACTGATGAAAATACAGTCTGACAAATCAGTTCTGTATTTCAGAACATAGTAATTGTAAGGATTAAATACGTAAAGACAAATGCCCTCATCAGCTTGGCATGGCCGTATCATTATACAAACTTTTAAGCTGAAAAAGTCCTGGAGTTTATCCTTTCCATTTTTTCTGCAGGTAAATCTGAGACAAGTTTAGTTTTTGTTAGTAATTTAGCATTTTTTTTATCAGCAGTTACATTCATATGTCTCAATTACACTGGATCACTGTCTGGTATTTTAGTCTTTTGCTGCTCCTCAATAACCAGAGATTTTCAGATTTTAGATGAAAATGCAAGAGAAAGACAGTTATGGATATAAAGGGAGTAGAAGTTTGGCAATTCAGAGAGCTCAGCTGTAAACCAGGCATATTTTTTCTTCTGTGGGTTTTACATTAGTGCATGGATTTTTCTGTAAGCTTTGGGAACACTTAAAAATACTTGTGCCTGTAACACTTCTCCATATATAGAGTTAATAATTTTTCTCAAGAAATGCTAAATGAGGGTTACAAGTCACAGATGTGATTTAGAACTATTAATGATTGTCTATTTGAAGTAAACCAGATGAAGATAGTTTTTAAAGTAAATTTGGAACTTATTTTTTAGATGACTTACTGATGTGTTTTCGTAACATTAAATATTGAAGTGCATGTTTCTGATAGTTTCTACGTTTTTGTTTTGCATGCTCTCCTTTGCTCTCTTTTTAGGAAAGCAGTGTATGGGGCTCGTGGATTTGGATCGGGCATTGGCTGCAGAAGAGCAGAAATACTCTGTCCAAGTTATATCTATGGAGCCAGAGAGTTGTTCTCCAAAGAACAATATGATTGTGGGCATCCCTACTTAGAGTGCAAAACTTGCATTTGATTTGAAGTTGAACATCAATCTTCAGTGCATAATGACATCCAGCAGATACAAGCATAGCTGGGAACCAGACGTTGGACCCATTGCATTTGAAAAAGGAAGCAGCATAGAAAGTCTTAAAAAGTGAGCTGCATGCAGAGCATCACAAATCACACTTGTAATGTGTCATTAAGCAACTTTTGGTTCGCTTCCTGAGAAGCTTCTGGATCTAATGACTGGTGTGGAATCATATCCATCTGTAAAGGTTTAAAAAACAGTTGGTCTTGTTGAAGAGAAGGTGATTTCCTTTTTAGTACAGCTGTCTTGGCTGCTTCAAAATTACATCCGTGGTCAAAACTGCATTTGTGTTCATAAGCAGAGCAGTTATCAGCCAATAATGCAGATCGTTAGAGGAACAAAAAAGATCAAATTTATGGTGTCAGTGAAGAAGACTGTGCAACAGGTGGTGGCTTGACTTTGCTAAAGAATGCCAAACTTCCATAGGAAGATTATTTTTAATAAAAGTTCATTGGAATACTTCGGGCATTGTTCTGCTTATTGTATTCTAACTTACCAGTCTTTTTAAAAAGACTTAAAATTTATCTTTAAGTATTACACATGTATTCTATAACAAGGCATTGGAAAATGTGTTTAATTAGAGAAAGCAAACCCATAATTATCTGTTGAGCTAGCAAGGATGTCAGTGAATGGATAGTTCACTGCCGCCTCTGCCAAACAAAGTGTATAGCTTCCCATTCTTAAGAACCTTGCTGTCAGAAGAAATTTTTAAGGACAGTTTATGTGTCTGTGTACATCACCTTCATTGATTTTATATTCAGTTTAAAATTTGAACAAAATTGCAGTTGTGCAACAGTTTGAAAAGATCAAACACAGTCATGTACTGTACAGTGAAAATAAATGTTCTATGCTCTGATTAGTAGGCAGTCTTCTACCCTAATTTAAAATCATCTGTTGACACTAGCACAGTGGAAAATAGCTCTTAATGAGATTTTACTGCATGTTTATGGATTTGATACATTTATGAATTCTGCCATGGTTTAATTTAACTATAACTGATTTTTGGTCATCGTGAACATACCTTCAGTGCATGTGGTAAGCAGAAGAAAAGGTTCCTGAAATAATTTATTCTTCATGAAACTTACATCTCTAAAAGATCCAAATAGTTGGGTATGTTTTAATGCGAAGACTGAAGGAAACTGCAACTTGCCTGGAAGCACAAATGTTAGCAGGTAGGTATGGATTAATACCTTTAGCCTGAGTTCTTTGGTATATAATGATTGAGTACTTTCTCTGCAGCTTTCTATAGTTACAGGAATAACTGGAGGTTGGAAAGATATGTAGTAAATACAAGAGACACGGCAATACGAGTTGCCTCCGAGATTTTCTGTTGTACTTGCCCAAAGATTTCAGTTTTTAGCAGTGTGTCAAGTCTGAGCATTATTCATGTTAAATTACTTTCTTTAGAACTCCAGATACTACATCTGGAGTGAGAAAATGTCTCTTCATTACCATTTTGTGCTGAAGAAAGAACCCATCAAGGTGAGACATCTGATGCAAGCTTTGATACTGTTTACAGTAAGTATTTTCACAATGCTGTGCTCTAGACATATTTTGATGGCATCTCATAATATCTATCATCTTGATAACTTACGGGATAGTGAGACTGCATCCCATTTGTAATACTGCTTTGTGACCTTGTCACACATGGCATCAGTTTGCTTAGGTTTCTTCTTGGGAGAACAGAATCTTCCTCTTGTCTAAGGGTAGAGTTATCTTACAATGAAAAGTAAAGCCCGAACTGTAAGTGAGGTGAACTGATGTTTGTTGAAAACTAAAGAAAAGGAGATGAAAAAAGCATAAAAAAGAGAAAGTATTTTCAACAGCTGATAATAGCTAAGTGACCGTAGATTAAATTGCCACTCTGTGCCATGTATTTCTAGAAGTGTGAGCTCAATTATATTAATTTTTGGTATGTTAATTTGTTTAATGTTTCCATATGCATAAATGGTGTGGAACTAATAGAGCCTGGAATTCCCTGAACAAGGTGAGTGGACATTGTGGTCCTGGTAAGTGAACAACTGTTGTTGTTTTTCTAGTAGCTTGTTATGCAAGGAGCTAGCTTGATGTCCCAGATGCAGACCTAAATACTGTTATTGTTTTATGTGTCTGGCCCCACTGCACCAGCTGTACGATGAACGAAATGTTGTCCTAACACAGTCATAATTTTCTGTGGTCTTGCCAGTCTGCCTTTGTATTACCCTTGTAGGCAATAATACTGGAAAAAAGTAACAGGAAACAGATGACCCAACTGAACTGAGCTCTTCTGTGTGTTAGTTATCTGTATGTACCATATATCTTTATTTTTGCCTTTACTGTGTTAATTATCTGCTTCCTCACGCCTATTTTAAGAGGTTTAAGTACTGCCATATTTAGGAAGGGGTAGTAATCTACAAGGGAGGCTCCTAGTAGGTACATTGTCCCCTGATTTTCCTTTGGCTTGATCTTAATAGAAAAAGTTAGAGATGTTAGTATTACTCTGCTAAAGCAATCTATTGATTGTTCTCACAAAGACACATATAAAATACCTCATTCATAGAGATGCCATAAATCTTAGACTGATGTTTTCTGTTTCTGATTATTGCTTGACTTTCAGCTACCTGGTGGATCTGTTCTTTCAAAGGGCAAGGATAATAAGCAGAAATGTCTTTTCAAATAGCTGTCTTCCTAGGACAAGTACTACTTTCAGTGGTTTTGCCTGGGAGCATTTGCCTGTCGTAATGAACTTCTGATGGACAATCTCAGTCCAAGTTCCTGTGATTTTATTACTAATTTTTTTTTCCTCTTTCAAAGTGAAGATCTTGATATGATACAGGTACCTGCCTGTATGACTGCTATCAAAAACATTACTTACCTGTCTCTTTAATAAAATGAAGAAAACCTCAGAACTTTCCATGCTCAGACTTGCACTGAAACTACCTGGCTATCCGGGTTTCAGCTCAGTAGCTTGTCCTTAGCGTGTTTCAGCTTATTACAACTATCGTTAAAAGAAATTCAATTTCCTGAGTTAATAAGATTACATACAAACAGTAAAACTAGAACCAAACAAAATTTCTCTTTACTTGTAGCTTTTATTTACTCAGAAATAAAATGATTAATGAAGTGTTCTGGTTTGCATTCTTCTCCTCAAAGTGAATTTAAGAAAATGGCTATATTCTCAAATTTCCCCCAGTAACGCCTTATGGGTAAGGCAGAGTGTTTAGGGTAGTTTTATAATAAATCACTCTGGTAATTTCTGAGTGAAAACAGAACAGTTTTTAATTTTTTTATGTGTCAAGTGGTGTATTTCCTAACTTGTAATTTGAAATTATTTTACTTCAGTGTTTGAATTCTTTGCATAGTTTGGGTTGTTTTGTTTTGTTTTGGTTTGGTTTAAGGTGCTAGCAGAAGTGTTTGTTTTATGGGAAGTGAGTGGTATTTTTTGAGTATTCCTGTTAATTAAGTAATCACTGATTCTAGGAATTAAATTATTGACTAATTCTATGCTTTCTCCCCTTCAGACTATATTTTATTTGATTATTGCTGATCTTTCATAAGTTTGCACAGCATCAGCTCTTAACGGAGTCCTTGAAACAGGTTTGCTAAAGTTACAGTTTTACTAATATTGAATATAACTAATTTTAATGCTAATCTTTTATTAAAGAAAACCAAACAAAATCCACAAAAAGCCCAAAGACATGTTCCAGTATGATTGAAAAATATGAACCTGTTACGTGAATTGAAATGTGCCTGTATCAGCTTTAATGTCGCATTCCTTGTGACAGTGAAGGATTTGCCTTGAGCTTTATGAATTAAAGAGCACTTACTCAGGATACACTTAATCAGGCAAGATGGCAAGAGATCCATGATACTGAGGCCAAGAGGTTTTCATGCACTGACTTTCAAAGACATGAAACATCATTTTTTTGACTCCATTGCTTGTGGGTGTTTGAAAAATTTTACGTGGCTTCTTTTTTAAAAACATCTTCATTAGCTTCAAATACTAATTTTTTTGGGGGTGTTAAATTGACCTTTTGAGAGGTTGTGTGCACTTTGGCTAATAGAAGCTGTAATACCATATTGGAGTTGTGACCTGATGAAAAGCTCTTCAACTGTTTTATATTGGACTTGAGCAATGGCAGAAATCTTCTCTAGCTCGCTATGGTAGACATGCCTGCAGCAGAATGGAAAATGGATACGCAATGCAGAGCTAGAAAAAGAAATACCTGGGGTGAGCTCTTTGTACTTTCCCAGAGGGGTACAGCTGGTAGTTGCTGAGTGGAGCAGATATGGAAGTGAGACAATCCATGGGGTATGTAAGTACCGAAGTGTAACAGTGCAGTGGTAGCACAGAAGGTGTGTCACGTGTGCCCAGTACAGTACAAAACATACAGATGCTTTCAGCTTTTTGGATCTGCTGTACCTAAACACTTCTCTGCCACTTATGGTTTGGTTAGTTCACAGGAAGTACAGAAATAATTTATTGCTGATCATATTACTGCTAATACTGTTTGTTTGGGGTTTTTTTTAATTACTCCCCCTTTATTTTCAGTGGATGTCTTTCTGAGTTTGGAAACCATTCATCAGCACCAGTACCCAGTATGGTATTTATGTGTTGGTGAGGATTGAGTTGCATTTCTTGAAGCTTAGAAATCTCTGTTTTGACTGCCTTCTGAATCGGGGTACAATTAAATGAATGTTGGAGTCAGAAAAAACTTCCGTATGTGAGAACTAAAGTAATGTCAATAATTGTGTTATATAGTTATATAGTTGTAACACTTGGATAAACCATTTGCTAGTTGTGAAAGAATTAGATACGTTGTACAGAAAAAAAGGCATTTGTGCTTCTTAGCTGTGTTCCCTTAATACGACAAAGCCAAAGTCTAATTTCAGGAACTGTTTTAATATTTTTGTGGACTTTAATTCATCAAAAACATTAGTTCACATTAAAATTCTAATATTTCTGTCAGTCCTAAGTAATTTTATTTAACTTTCTATTAGTGTGTTGTTATAGCTCTCATTTTTTTTGCTTTCCCTTCTTCCAGTGTTAGTTTTCCAACCCAGGTCATTGCTGTTCCAACACGCCCAAAGTATTTCATGCATATTTTTAATTGCTAATGGCTTTTTCTGAGCATTGTGTCAATTTAAAATAACGTGCCAGTGTACTTATTGTGCCCTTCATTCTAATATGTCGTTGTAATTTTTAACATTTTTGTTAGTATTTGGTTGCTTTTGCTGCATTTAGTGTTGTAACGTTTTACTTAATGTTATATTTAGGGTTTGAAGGTTTCTGGAAGGAATGTATTTTTGAATGTGTGAAGATAGAGTAAGTTACTGTGTTTTGAACTGTTACCTGTGCAACTGCGTTGTAGCTTGCACACCTGCAATTATAGCAATACAATTCTAAGTTATATTCAAGAGAAATGCAATTGTCCAGTCATGGATGCAAGAGACAAAGGGAAATCACCTCTGTTATGTGA